GCGGGGCCGGCGGCGGGACCGTCCCGCCCCGCTTCCCTGCCCGTGCCAGGCGCGGCAGAAGAAAAACTTCGGCCCGGAGAGCTGCAGGGCGGAGACGCGGGAAACGCGCTGGCCCAGGGCGACGAGGCTGTCCCCCGCCGCCCGCCCCGGAGCGGCGGGCAGGACGAAAGGGGCGGCGGGCAGCCCCGCACGCCCGCGGCCGGAGAACCAGCCGCCCCGAGCGGCGCGCGGCTCGCCCCGCTCCCGGCGCACGCCATGCCTTCCCCTTTCATTCCCTTGCCTCTCTCCGCGGGAGCGGATTCGACTCTCCAAGCTGACAACAGGGAGGAGGAGGAGGACGAAACTTCAGCCCCACGCACACAGGCGCGAGTCTTTTCTCTCCAGCCGCTCCTGCTGCTCCCCTGCGTTCCGCTCCCGCGTTTGCAGGAGGAGTGCAGGGTCACGGCCGGCAGCACCCTACCCCCGGGTGGAAGCACCCCGCTGCGGCCCCGGCTGGGCTGGCTGTGCCGGGCGAGGCGGAGGGGCCGCGGCCGCCCCTCGCCGGCCGCCCCGGCCTGCCGCTGCCTTACCTGAGCGGGGTGCGCCGGAGCGGCTGCTGCGCGGTCGGCGTGCGGAGGTGTAGGCAGCCCCGGGAGCCTTCGAGCCGGAGGAGGGTTGAGAGGAGAAGCTTCTCTTTGGTCTTTGTCCACGGGGAAGCGGGGCGATCCTCTTCCAGGTGCCGGGGACCGGCGGGCCGGCTAGCTCCGAGCCGCCGGGCTCCCTCTGCCGTGGCCGCGCATCGCGGTCGCGCCCGGGCTCTTTGCTCGGCTCTGGCAGACTCCGGGCTGGACACGTGGGTTTTACGACAGCGCAAAATACAAGTATGTGTGGTGTGTACGGGAGGGAGGGGAGGGAGCGGGAAGTTACCAGCGAGCCTGAACGCAGCGCCCTTTTTTTGGCAACTTCCCCCACTTTGTTCCTTGCTCAACTTTTAAAGGTGTCCCTTTCTTTCCTTCCCTCCTCCTCCTTCCCTCCCTCCCCCCGCTCCTTCCT